TTTTTTTTTTTTTTTTTTTTTTTTTTTTTGATCACTAAGGTAAGACCCCAAATTCAACTCAAATTCTTTAAAATTGGGAACCACACCCCTAATTTACTACTGATTACCCAAATTATGATCAAAATATGAATCGCGGCCTAAATTGAACCCCCAAATCTTTGTAATTGGATCACTGCCCCAAATAACTCGGAATCCACAAAATCAAATCACTGCCATATCAGACTACCCAAATTTTGGGAATGAAATCACTGTTTTTCTGATTGTTGATCCCAGAAATTAAATCAAACCATTTTCACAATATCACATAAGCATATAATTTGCATTCATGCCTATTGGAAGGTAGGGTTGCCATGTCCTAATTTAGAAATGGGATCAAAGTTCCACTAAATCATTCAAAGAGGAATAATACAATCCAAGAAAGGAGAGTATCCTGCCCTAGTTTGAAAGGTGCTAATGCTCTCTATATGCAAAAAGTAAGTTTGGTCACAAAAGGGTATATCAATTATTACAATCAATATACCTCTCATTCCACAAGGGAATGATCAAACAGTACTAAAACAATAATCTAATGCTTGCCTTAATGACATAACATAGCCCGCGAATAGTGTCCGGGATATTATGCAACAAACATGAGCATAGGGCAAATTTCAACTGGTATTTTTTTTCAAAATAAACTCCCTTTTTTTATTTAAATTTTCAAAGTATTCCTTTCTTCTTTTTTTTTTTTTGAAATTTAGAGGAGTAAGGATTTTATTCTAAGGAATCAAGCAAACAATCATCCTTTAGCCAAATATCTTATAGAGGAACAAAAATTTTATTCAAAAATGAGAGACTTGGTCATCACTTCCTTGTCCAACATTTGTCCATAAAATTAAGGTTCCCCCAAAGTCATTATCCAATGATTTTTACTTGATGAAAAGAGCTTTCCATAATTTCCGAACTCTACTCAAATTTTATTTTCAAAAAATTTCCAAAGGAATTTAAGATCTTATTCGAAGAAACCAACCAGAAAGTTACCATAGAGTCAAATGTCTTCTAAGGAAATTCAAAATTTCAATTCAAAGCGAAAGATTCAGTCATTACCTCCTTATCTAACACTTTCCCATAAAATCAAATTACTTCGAAAGTGAAAAACCTAAAGATTTCGGCGTAATCAAAAACTTTTCTTAATTTAAAAAATTCTACTTGGGTTTTCTTTCAAAATTCTTTCCTCCCAAGGACATCTGGATTTTATTCCACGTCTCTAATCAAACAATTGTCTACTTGGTCAATTATCTTTTGGGGGAATTGGAATTTTATTCAAAATTAAAGATTTGGTCACCACTTCCTTCTCTACCATTTTTCATAAAAGTTGAAATTTCCCCTAAAGTCAATAACTTAAAGATTCTTATTCAATCAAACACCTTCCATAACCTCCAAGACTCTACTTAAGTCGGAAAGTTTCTTTTTCTTAGAAGGTATTCCTTAATAACATGTTTTCTTGGGGATTTCAATTTTAAAAAGGCAAAAATACTTCTTTTTTGATCACTTAGGAAAGAATCCAAATTCAAACTCAAATTTTTTAAATTGGGAAACAACCCCCCTAATTTACTGCTGATTACTTAAATCATTATCAAAATACAAATCACTGCCTCAATTGAA